GAGCACCGAGGAAAGAAGAAGAAAAAAAAAAAAAATTCCCATTGAGAGAGAAATCACAGTACTACAGGGTTACAAAACACCATGCCATTGTCTCTCGGTCTATCGAACCATCGATTGGTGTTAAAAACGAGCCGCTCCCTTATCAGCCGACAAATGATATAATGAACGATTTCGCATCAACACCGTACACTGCCCGTATATACATGTATGATAACTTTATCTGGTAGCGATCCATTTATTGAGACATTAGAAGGTACACATTCCGTGAGATCGATTCACCCGAGGACAATGGCGTTCTTCCTATTGGCTCTCGACCATTCGAAACTATACTCCGAAGAAAAACCCACGCTGCATGTTGTAAAAAAAAAAAAAAAAAAAAAAGATTTACATGGAGTTCCATAACAAAAAGCAACATAAGTATTTAGAACTGCAAGATAATAAAAAAAAAAAAAAAAAAAAAGATTTAACATGTTAAATTGAGAAACACAGCCGAGAGAACGAAAAACACGCGTGCATCATCGCGCGGAGGCGTCGTCGCCGTTATAATATATTGTATGTATAAAAGGCCACTTGCAGCCCAGCTGATCGTAAAACAGCGCCGCGCCACTTGGCCTTCGCCTCCCCCCCCCCGTGTAAGTATATATATATATATACTTATTCTCTTTCTCTCGCGCACGCACCGCGAGAGAGTCAATAAACTTTTAATTCAATCTCCGTTTCGCCCTCCTCGGCTCGTGGCCATGGCGCCGAGCGCGTGCCGCGTATACACGTGTATAGCATACGCCTATCACATCGAGCCGGTTAGTTTTGATTTCCGCGAGTAGAGAGTGAGAGGTTACTTTCGCACTCCGTGTAAGTAATGTGCGTGAGCTCGCACGGTTCAGCCGTACACTAGATCGGCAAGGCAAAAAGAGAAAAGCAAAGTACGCGACGGAAGGGCGAGTATATATAGGTACAGACGCGGACAGTCGCCCCGGTTGTTGTTTGCAAGCGCGTGACAAGTACACGACACGGAAAATTTATTTACGAGCGACTGTATAGTCCGCACTCGTCGAGGAGGGAGGGCGTTAAACGAGATCTCTTACGCGCGCCTCGGCTCATAAATATCCGCGTAATTAAGTAATCCTTGACACTATGCAACAGTTGCACCGGCCAGCCGGCATTTGTATATATACCTATGTCATATATGTTATTATATTGTGGTGCGGGTGTATTTTGCACTACCCGCGACGTCTCGTCATTCATGCGACTGGTGAATTAAATTGCACAAATCCACGGATCGTCATTGAAAAAAACAAAAAAAAAAAACAAAAAACAATGCATCCTTTTGGTTTGGATTGAGAGCCTCAGGTGGAACATGCCACCCTATGGGAAAGGGAAAAGGTGTCCAATTGGCGAAAATTATGAACGACGCAAATTAACCGGCAGAGTAATTATTCGAGTGATAACATTATGGTGGACGTACGCAGTGCAGGTACACGAGAGGTCCAAGCGGACGGGAGACGAAGGGAGGGGAATTAAATATCACGCGAACGAGAAGGAGAGAGAGGCGCCGATTCCCCATTGGAAGCTCTACGGGAAGCCACTTAACGTGTTCCCCTTTCTCTCTCTCTGCCGAAATAGTCGTGTTAATTTGGCCCGATCGCTTAGCCGACGCCGCGGCTCTCGTGGTCAGCACATACTTTGGCGAGGGAGAGGGAGACGAGGAGGGGGGAGGAAAAAAATGAGCTCGGCAAAGAGCCGCCGAGGCAAAAATTAAGATGGATTTTTCGACGAGACCGCCGCGCCGCTGCCGCTTATTCGCCGTTACCGCGCGTAAGAAAAAGAGGCACCGCGACGACCACGAGAGGGGCTAACGGTGCTTTATCGCGTTTTTTGCATCGGCATTTCGCTTTTTTTTTTTGTCTTTTAGTCGAGATTATTCTATCAACAGTTTTAATTCGAGGGTAATTGCTGCATTCCGATTATTCGGGGGAAAAACGCAGAGAGAGAGAGAATGCGCCGTGTGAAATCGTCAACCGTACCGATCATTATCACCGGGTGTAAAGGTATATATTATTAAATAATCGCCCGACGGTATGGCTATTTAATTCTCTCTCTACGACCGACGTCTGGCGAGGCCGGCGAAAATGACACTCTCAAAGTCGCTCGTTCTCGAATCAACGTAATTAACACACAGACCGATAGCGTCAATTATGCTAAACAGGCGAACCACTGCTCGAAGGACGGATCGATATGGCACTCTTTTATGTCTACCGATTAATAATTAATTATAGCTGTCGGCTCTACTCTCTTATCTGTTGTACTATGCTCCGGTCCATATAACGTATCGCGATTCCAAATGGCAATGCGTGTATACACGGATTACTCAATGATGATTATACATACGAGGTGTATATAAAAGATTGTGTTTCCGTCGATCGCAATCAGCGTAAATCAAGGCGAGTTGTCACCCTCCGTGTATATATATATATACCCTATACGTCTCAATTTTAACGGCGCGCGTAAGTAGTAGGCAGCGGGTATAAAAGCCCGAGAGTCGAGGGAGAGAAAACTCGGGACAGGTATATATACAAACAGCGACACAAGTCCGGGACAAAAGAGCGCGTGACGAGCTCCGTCATTGGGAGCGATTCGTCGCGACTCCTTCCTCCTTTTTTTGCTCGTGATGGCTATTCGTTCCGCCGAGGGGGTATACACGAGCTGACGTTTTTTGCCATAGCTGCTTCTAGGGCATGTACACGGGGGCCTCTCATCCTGCACCGATTTCAGTTGTTGCGCGACGACGGACGAAGCGCAAAAAACCAATGACGGGCGTACACACGCGAGAACCGGGTATATATTGTAATGTACGGTCTTTGCCACGGTGGCGTAGGCTGCAGGTATATAAGTGCAAATAGAGAAGTACGGGGGAGGAGTGCGGAGCGAAAAGTGGAGCGCGGGATGGAACGATAAGCGGTGTGTTTATGGCCTCAATAAAGTCTAGGGAGGAGAAAGACGACTGGAAAAAAAAAAAAAAAAAAAAAAAACGGGGGATGAGAAAGGAGAATGACTGCACGACGTCCTCTTTTGCACTCCGTTCGCTCGATCATCTCCGTTTGTCGTCGTCCCTGGACTGCTCTCGGGGATCATACATGTACCTGCTCCGGGTGATGGCTCGAGTTTACGAGACGCCCGGGAAAATATTCAATTTCCAAAGTTCCGGCCTTGGGGGATAGGATATATCCTTCTACTCGTGGTCGTGGTCCCACTGTGCCGCGACGACCCTTGAAATCGTCAATTTCGACGGCACTACCACCGACCGAATTAATCGAGTCGGACGCTGGACGGAGTTTCGGCGAGTACATCCTTGACTTTCCTATATACATAGACGTGTGTATATACGTAACTATACGCTTTGGGAGTTATCCGAAATGATTGTCATCGCGCCTGGTTTCGCCACATCGCGCGACGGTTCACGCGAATTTGATTCATCGCGAACAATCAACTGGCGTGGCTTTTACGAGCGTATTTTTTATTATGTTTTATTTTCACGGGCTATATATCCACGTACACGAATTCACGGGGTTTCATAAAAGTCGATCAAATGATTTACGGCGCAAAAAACCGGGTGGGGGATAAATTACGTGGGTTAAACGTGGTTATTACACGCAGTTCGCGCTAGCAAACGATCGCCACGCCGTGGGCCGGAATTTTAATTATTACTGATAAAGCGTTGCGCAACGCTTGATACCTGCATGCATTGCATAGGTTTCTACACCGAGGACGGGCATTAGGATTCTTTTCTTCCTCTATTTTCTAAGCCCCCCCCCCCGCACGAAATTTATGGCATTACCGTATAGTGAGTACTTTCACCGTCAGCCAAACTCGTACGTTGCAGTGTATGACGTTATTAGCCCGAGCGTGCAACGCCTCCAATTCACGGCAAAGATAATTTAGAGGCACGAAAACCTGCACCTGACATTAATATCGACACAGTCGGCTTTGGACGTTAATTTTCCCGGGTTTGTAGGTAATGATAATCGGAACGCATTACACAGTTGTTCGCCGATTAATCCTCTATGTGGAAAAACAGCCGAGTCTTATCATACATAAGCATACATTTTACTCTTATCATCGAGCCACGCTTTGGGTGCGTCTTGGACAAACGATGTGCGCTCCGTGACGAAACCCTCGAGTAAAATTAAAAAACGCACCTGAGCGTCGTTGGACTATTTACTATTTTTCACCCTCCTATAGGTTGGGAAGGGCAAATTACAAACGGAGAAAATACACGACCGTCGGGGCGAATCGGTGTAATTCGCGAAACACGATAAGAACTGTTGGAGCTCGGAAGAAAAAATACATATTATACGTAAGGGAGAGATAGAGAGGATGGAGGAAGGATAAAGACGGAGGCTGGGAGCCACTGCGAGGGGGACCCCGAAGATTTTACAGGGCTCACCGCGAAACGAAAAGGTATATACCAGAATCGGCCCCGACCCTCTCCCTCTCTCTTATCCTCCTGTTCTTCTTCTTCTTGCGGCTAAAATATATAACGCCACGATGCGCGCACACACACACGTGTACATGTACCTGTTAGGATGGGTATGGAGAAAGAGAGAGGCGCGTGAACGCGAGCGCGCAGTGGGAGAGTTAAGTACATCGGACACGAGAGAGAGAGAGAAAGAGGAGGAGAAAGACCAGTCGGTGGCGGGGCCCGTTGCTCGGCTTCTCGGGGGCCCGTTCCTCGCCAGTCGCTCGGCGAGTCGCGCTAGTGGAGGATCGAGGGGAGCCCACGTCTCTTCAATAGTCCCCCAACGGCGATCGTTGCCTCCTATACCGACCCACGCAGTAGTTAGTAGTTTGACTTTGCGCGAAAATGAAATCGCTCGTCGGCTGATTATTATGCGGCGCCCAATGGGCGATGGACGCGAGTGCGCGGGTGGTTCGCGTGTAGTGTCAAGATTATCATCCTCGTTATCGTCGCCATCACCGGCGTACCGCAGCTAGTGACAAAGATGCAGTGGGGTGTCTTCCCCGCCGTCCTCCTGGGCGCGACGTTCTGCGTCGTCGTCGTGGGAGGGGCCTCGCTCCGTCGGGCCCTTTGCAACAAGGCGCCCGACGAGTGCGAGTGGCTGGCCGCCCCCGACACCGGCGAAGGGACCAAAAACAGCCCGGAGTCGCTCGTCTGCCGGTTGCGCTCGATATCGGGGACCACCAGCCTCGTGGGCAACCTGTCGAGCTCCCAGCTCGAGAACGTCCTCTCGCTGGCGTTCGAGTGCAGCGAAGGCCTCCGCTTCGACGGCCAACTCGAGGAGGCGACTACCTGGCCAGCTGGATTTCTGGGCGCCCTGCCTAGGCTAGAGCGATTGCGCCTCGAGTACTGCAAGGTTCGCAACTTGCCTGGTGGGGCCTTCGCCTCGGCACCCGGACTCCGTAAATTGACGATGCGGTCCCACAGCGCCGACTGGTCCTCGGCGGCTCTCGATCTGCACAGGGACGCGTTGCGGGGTCTACCGAAATTGCGGGAGCTGGACCTGGCGGATAACAACGTGTGGAGCCTACCGGGGGAGTTTCTCTGTCCGAGTCCGAGTTTGGCTAGTCTTAACTTGACACGCAACAGGTTGCAGGACGTGGCCTCGCTCGGACTCGCCGATTGGGCCAGCGCGTGTGCCCAGAACCTCCAAATCCTCGACCTCAGCTCGAACGAGTTGAGTGCACTGCCGGACAACGGTTTGGCTGGTCTTCGTGCGCTCACCGCGCTGCGTGTGCAGGACAATGCTATCGCAGCTGTCGGGGATTACGCGCTTGCCGGTCTGCACAATCTCCGATCATTGAATTTGTCGAGCAACCGGCTGGTGGCTCTGCCGCCCGAGCTCTTCGCAAAGAGCCGCGAACTCCGGGAACTCGTGCTGAGCAACAACTCGCTGGCCGTGCTGGCACCCGGGCTCCTGGACGGACTAGGTGAATAACACGTGTATTTATTTCCAGTTGGAGAAGTTGGCCCACCACCTGGTTATATCTATGTTAAAGTGCAGTTATTTTTTCCACATCTAGTCATGTCTAAAGATATACTCGATGTCACATTAGATCCCCCTCCGTCGTGAATTTTTATAATTTATTTTTAATGAAATGAAACCAACTGTTGATCACGCAATGAATAATGTATAATGTATGATTTTTGTTTTTCCATAGAGCACCTGCAGTCGTTGGACCTGAGCGCGAACGAGCTCACCAGCCAGTGGGTCAATCGCGACACGTTCGCCGGCCTCATCCGTCTGATCGTGCTCGACTTGTCTTTCAACCAGCTGACCCACATAAACGAACTCATGTTCAAGGACCTGTACACCCTGCAGATCCTAAGTTTGCAGTACAACGAGATAGAACTCATACCCGCGGGCACCTTCGCTCCCATGAGTAACCTGCACACCCTCGAGCTCTCGCACAACAGACTGAAGCGCTTGGACGCCCAGTCGCTCAATGGGCTGTTTGCCCTGTCCCAGTTGGCCCTAAACTTCAACCTCCTCGAGGGCATACACTCGGACGCCTTCAAGAACTGCTCCAGCATCCAAGACCTCCAGCTATCCGGGAACAGCTTGCCGGTCGTGCCCAGCGCCCTTCGGGACATGGGAGTCCTGAAGATGCTCGACCTCGGCGAGAACCGCATCTCGAGCCTCGCAAGGGTCGACTTTGCCGGGTTGAGCGGTCTGTACGGGCTCCGACTGATGAACAACGCGATCGGCAACGTGACGCGCGACGTACTGGCCGAAATGCCGGCCCTGCAGATACTCAACTTGGCCCGCAACGCCATAGCAAGAGTCGAACCCGGGTCCTTCGACGACAACCTAAAGTTACAGGCCATCCGGTTGGACGGGAACAGGCTGACCGACATGTCAAGCTTGTTTGCCAAACTGCCGAACCTCGTCTGGCTGAATGTGAGCGACAATAGATTGCAAGGCTTCGACTACGCGATGATACCGAGCTGCCTGCAGTGGCTGGATCTCCACGCGAATGAGATCACGGAGCTGGGCAACTACTACGAGATCGAGTCGCAGCTGCAGCTGAAGACCTTCGACGCGAGCGTCAACAAGCTGACGGAGATAACGGGGAGCTCGGTGCCGACGGGCGTCGAGATGCTCTACCTCAATGACAACCGGATAGCCCGGGTGCAGAGCTACGCGTTCTTCAAGAAGCCCAACCTGACGCGCGTCGACCTCAAGGCAAACCGCATACGCCGACTCGAGCCGTACGCCCTAAGGATAAGCGCCGTGTCCCCCGACAAGCCCCTGCCCGAGTTCTACGTGGCCGACAACGACTTTCTCTGCGACTGCACCATGGAGTGGCTCCAGCGCGTCAACCGCCAAGAGATCGGCACGGCCAGTCGCGTCCAACCGCGCGTCATGGACCTCGAGAGCATAGAGTGCGACCTCCTTTACGACCGGGAACGAACCCGGGTGGCCCTATTGGAGGTCGCTCACTCCCAATTCCTCTGCGAGTACGACAGCCACTGTTTCGCCCTGTGCCACTGCTGCGACTTTGACGCGTGCGACTGCGAGATGACCTGTCCGACCAATTGCACCTGCTACCACGACCAGACGTGGACGGCCAACGTGGTCGACTGCTCGAGCGCGGGGTACAAGAAGCTGCCCGGCCGCGTGCCCATGGACGCGACCGAGCTCTACCTCGACGGCAACGACCTCGGCGAGCTGATCTCGCACTCGTTTATCGGCCGCAAGAGGCTCGGCACCCTCTACCTGAACGCCTCGGGGATCGAGAGTCTGCAGAACCGCTCGTTCAACGGGCTCAAGAACCTCGAGGAGCTCCACCTGCAGGACAACGGCCTCAGGGAGCTCGAGGGCCACGAGTTTCTCGGCTTGGAGGCGCTGCGCGTCCTCCGGCTCGAGCGCAACGCCATCGAGGCCATATCTAACACCACCTTCCTGGGACTGCGCTCGCTGAGGGTGCTCCACCTCGAGGGCAATCGGCTGGTCGGTCTGGCCGTGTGGGCCCTACCCCCGGGCCTCGAGCTAACCTTCGCCGACAATCCTTGGTCCTGCGACTGTGGCTACATACGCGAGTACCGCGAGTGGGCCACGGGCTCGTCGGCCGGGCGCGTCCTCGACGCGGCGAGGCTCAGCTGCGCGTACAACGGCACGGGCGAGGACGTGGCCATGGCCTCCACCCCGGCCGACACGGAGATCCTCGTTCCCCTCGGTGGCCATCACCAGGTGGTGCGGCGCAGCTACAGGTTCTCACTGCTGACGGGCCGGGGCTTCGACGTCAATGGCTCCATTTGCACGGACCTCGAGAGCGTCGAGAGCGGCCTGACGGGGCTGCAGATCGGCAACAACAACACCAAGACTTACATCGGCAAGCAAGCCCTGGGCGACCACTTGCCCCTCCTTGTGGGTACTCTGGCGGGCTTTCTTCTGCTCCTCGTTGGGTGCATGCTCGGCTTTGTGTTCCGGCACGAGATGCGCGTCTGGCTGCACTCGCGTTTCGGGGTGAGGCTGTTTTATCGGCACGCGGACGCCGATCGGGGCGACCGGGACGACAAGCTGTTCGACGCGTTCGTCAGCTACAGCTCCAAGGACGAGGCCTTCGTCGCCGAGGAGTTGGCCCCGGTGCTGGAGCTCGGCCAGCCGAGTTACAAGCTGTGCCTGCACTACCGGGACTTCCCGGTGGGCAGCTTCATCGCGGACACGATAGTCCAGGCGGTCGAGTCGTCGCGGCGGACGATCATGGTGCTCTCGGAGAATTTCATCAAGTCCGAGTGGTGTCGGTTCGACTTCAAGTCCGCCCATCACCAGGTGTTGCGGGACCGAAGGCGCAGGTTGATCCTCGTGCTCGTGGGGGACGTGCCGCAGCGCGACCTCGACCCCGACATAAGGCTCTACCTCAAGACCAACACGTACCTGCAGTGGGGCGACAAGCTCTTTTGGGAGAAGTTGCGCTTCGCCCTGCCCGACGTGCCCAACAACCAGCGGCCGACGAGCACGGCTGCGAGCATGGCCGCTCTACACCACCACCGGAGGCAGCCCCCGCCACCCGTCAGGCGACAGCACAACAACCAAACCGGCGCCACACCCGCGGAACGCTCGAGGACGCTCTCGGTGCACATCTAGTGTACTTATGTGTATGTGTGTGTGTGTCGAACAAGTGCAATATAAGAGTGGGTTACGGTGTAAATATGTAGTAGTGCGGTGTAACGCCAGTTGGCCTCCTCGTGTGAAATTATTTTGGCGGTGCGTGTGACACGTGCGACGGAACACGGCACAAAGAAACGAGACTTTGTGCACGAAACGAATTAAACAGAGGTATATATATATATATATATATATGTATAAATAAATAGAATAAAAATAGTGCATAGCGATACGCGCTGCGGAAAATCGACAGTAAAAAAAAAAAAAAGAAAAAAAAAGGAAAAGGAAGAGAGAAAGTGGTGTAAGTGCGTGCGTGTGTGAGTGCAATGATCACCGTCATGGATCAGCCTCTCCATTGTCGAAGGCATCGCTAATTATGGACGTCAAGTGTACGCGTACGATGCAAAAATACCCCTGTCGCGCAACGGCAGTGTGTATGTGGGAGTGTGTGTGTGTGTGGTTCTTAAACGGATGTGGTGTTCCGCGACCGAAGGATTGTTATTACGGCGCGCGCCGGTGGGATTTTTCACGGTGCCGGCGACAAAGAGGGGGGAGAGCACCGCTCGCACAGTAGTAAATGCACTTGGGCGAGCGCGCGCCTCAAAAGAATCCGAGAGTCATTCGGTCCCGAAGAGAGAGAGACTATGCAATATAATATATATAATGCAGGACGATGACGCCGACGAACGTATAACGTGGAAAAAAAAAAAAAGGAGAGCGCGTGTGCCCCTTTTGATCGAGGCTTTCCGCCGCCAGACCGAATCTTTTCTCCTTTTAATATCTCAATTGGGTTTAATTAAATGTTTGCTCGACTCGTAAGTGCCCCCCGTCGGACAATTGAAAAAGGGCTCGCGTGCGTTTTTAGAATTTTCTGAAAATACCGTGGAAACGACTTCGGAGGAGGGTATTCATTTTTTTTTTCTTTTCCCCCTTGACGCACGCGCGCGCGCGAGACGTGTAATCTCGATTGAAACGAAGCGCGGGAATCAGTGGTATACAACCACGGTGTAATGGCACGAGGGGTTAACGTAAGTGTGCAGTCGCGGGAAAAAGCGCGAGACTCGCGATACGCCCTGCGGCGTCTATGACGAGCTGGCTTCGCTCACGGTGATGTGTATATAACTTTCTTAATGAATTTTCAACTCGGTGTTTTTTTTTTTTTTTTTTTTTTTTTTTTTTTTTTTTTTTTTTTTTTTTTTTTTTTTTTTTTTTACTTTGCTCCATTTGACGAAGGGACGCTCAAATATTTATTGCTCCTCTCGCCGGCGCGGACGTACATGGGCTTTGTTTCTAATGATCGCTGCATACGCGCGGCGGGGCTCTCCTTCTTCGTTTGTAAATTTTGTAAAATATACGCCTCAGGGTAAAAAAAAAAAAAAAAAAAAAAGTAAAAATAGCGCAACGCTCATTTCTGGTATGCACGTGCGCTAGTGTGTGTGTGTGTGTGTGGTTGACACGTATAATAGCGTCCGGCGATCGCAAAAAAGGGGGATGAAACAGCGCCGGCCTCTGGGAAGTTGAAATTTCGAGGACGACAAAAGAGCAGCGAATGCCTGTGTACGTATAAATATACAAACAGAAAACAAAAACAAAAAAAGTTGAAATAGAAAGAACGAGAGAGCGACAGGGATGGAGGAGTACGCGGGAGGCGGAACAAACGAAAGAGAAAATAAAAGCCCCCATTGTGACGTTTAAGGACTTGCTCTCTTTATTTCTCATTTCATTCACGCGGGCGATACAGCCCTCCTTTTCTACGTGTGTACATATCAACGTGCGCCCACCCCCGCGTCTCTTCTTCTTCGTCTTCTCTGTGTTGTGTAGAAACCTCCTAGTCGAGGGCTCGTTCTCCCTGCGGCGAGCGCAATCGCAGGGCAGGAGACGAAAACGACGGAAATGGGGACGAGACGCTCGGTTACGCGACACACGACAACCCGAGTAGGAAAGGGGGCAGAGCTCCTAGCAGTCCGCTAAAAAAAAAAAAAAAAAAACCACTGAATGGAGGACGAATAGGAATCCGTTAACCTGCATACGCTGTGTATATATGTATGTACCCACACACGTGCTCTGTCTCCCTTTCGTTGGCTCGGCGTACGGACCGATGTACATGCGGGTTTCGGTATTCTCCTCCTCCTCTCCCTTTCTCTTCTTTGCTCTTCTTATTTTTCTGTATTTTTTTGCTGGTACGAGAGTCCACCGAAGAACTCGGGCTCTCTTTATTTTTTCCCGTGCCCGCCGTTCAGCTCCTAGTTTCCGGTAAATATGAAAACTCTCGAGCTCGTCGCAACATTTTGCGATTGTGTTCGATTTTAGCTTTACTTGTTGTTAGCCATCCCCTTCTCTCGAAGATCCGTTTGGAAATTTATTTGAGTATAAAAAAAAAAAAAAAATGTCACTTTTCTAATCAAATACAGCGACTTATTTTCTCCCTGCGACCGTTTGGTATTCTCGATCGAAGGAGCACGCGATTGTTATCACCTCGTTGAAAGATCGAGGAATGACGAAAGACTCCCAAGAGAAAGAGACCCCGGCGCTGTTGTCGTCCTTACGGCATGTTGTGTGTACGTGTAACGCGGCCATTGGTATTATTTATTCGAAAGCGAGTGCATGTAGGTACGGATGGATGTGTGAGCGCTCCATGTACATTGTTCGGATTTTAATTTAAAATGTAACTACTCGAAATAAATTTATTTTTGTTATTTGAATATACCTTTGAATTTTTCATTTGCGTTTCGCAACGCTTATTCTGTTGCCCCGTTCGCCCAACCTCCTTTTTTTTCCTTCCACAATAAAAGCAAATAAAAAGGTTAACGACTGTGCGCAGGAGTGCTGGTACAACGATACATATACAACGATAATAATGGAAAAAAAAAAAAAAATTTGTTTTTAATAGCGTCGTTAAAATTATGGTTTTTTCAGCCAAGGTCACCTGTTTCGCACACGAAAAATCTTACACATTTCAGTATCGCCTGTATGCCCATCTGTTGCAGTGATATTTCAAGAAAATTGAAGGACGCTTCGACGCTCATTAACCAAGACATTTTTTTTCCTCCCCCTCAGTACTACACGTTAAAAATCCACCCAAGCTTGCACTAAAAGAAAAAAATAATAAAAATTACTGTGCTAGAATGGTAATCTGATAGCGTTCGGTCGTGTCTAGAGACTTTTTACTATTTGAACAATAATTTTTAATGTTTGTAGAATAAAAACTACTGTCCGGAATGGTATAAATTAGGTTGGCCAAAGTAAAAAGTTCCTAGACGGCAGAATGACACCAGATTACCATTCTAGCACAGTAATTTTTATTTTTTCTCTCTCTCAGTGCGAATGTCAATCGTTGCACAATCATCGCACCCAAGCAGCTGCGGAGGAAACACTTGCTGCGCCACGTTGTATCGCTACGATCGCAAAAACAGAGCGCCCACGGAATTCTTAATTAAAGAAATCCATGTACACACACGAGGCAGATATCCATCGAGAGGTGTATACGATCGTCGTCGTCGCCAAAGTCTTCGGGTTGTATACGTATATACAAACTCTTGGGGCACGCGCCACGAGGTGAGATACATACACATATATAGATACGAGGCCCAGTAGCGGCAGCGAACACTGTCTATTTGAGATTAGGTGCAGTGGGCTCGTTCTTCACCACCTGGTCGTCCCCCTTTTTCTTCCTCCCTGCAGCAGCAGTCAGGGGGAAATACCAGCAGGTACACATCCCTAATCGGCTAGCATCAATTACCCGCAGAGCAGAGCAGTTCCTTTTTTTATTTTTTTTATTTTTTTTATTCACCTCGGCTCTCGGAAATGAATGGACACGTCCCGCGGTGATGTCGAATTTATTACACGTGGTGTGTATATATATATATATATATGATACAGTACACCACGCAGGCAGCGGATTTCGCAGCTTCTCCAATGGCAGCAGTAGTTCCCCACACACGGTTATCGGCTGGCGATCCTCCAGCGGCAGCTACGTATATACGAAGGGACCCCCGCGCGTTAAGCTTCGCGCGAGAGCTTTCCATTAGGCGCTATCGCGCAATTAAGATAAAATTATCGAAAATGCATTAGACCGTGCCGGTTGCTCTGTTTTTGCCCACAGGATAGGATGTAGTAGCGTCAAGTTGCCTGGTTGGTAGCGACGAACATCTGCCATATGCAATGGGCTAGGCTATATGTATATGTATAGGCACACGAGTACAAGTTTAGGTGTAGTCGCTGAACTTTGGAAAGAAAAAAAAAACACAACAAGGCACGCTAGACAAGGTGCAACGACCAGCTGTCGGCGTCGTCCTTTCTTCCTTCCTTTCCCTTTGTATACAAGATGTCATTACACGTTTAAAGTTCTTAACAAGCGCACGTCCGACTGCTCCGCTCCTTCGTCTTTTCCCTCCTCCTCCTCCTCCTCCTCCTTTGATATATTATATATATAAAAAACGTCTCGTCTCTTCTCTGCCTTACGTAAGTAGATGCACGTATATAATATGTGCACACACTGTTCCGTACAGTCATGCAGACTCGCGTGATTTCGCGGCTCTTGTTGTTACCCTCCCCGAGGAAAAGAAGAAGACGAAGGATAGACGGAAAAGATTTGTGTAAGTATTATAACGAGTGCACTTTGCTCGCTTATACATATACATATACGAACATACAGGAATAAGAGAGAAAGGGGGAGGAGGTGCTAGATTGAAGAATCGACGAGGCCTGCTTGGCGAGGAAGAGTATGGCAGGCATATCGGGGGTACATATAACCACGTCCTACGTGCACATGGCGTGGAAGGATGAGGGGTAGGTAAAGGTATGTATATGTATATAACACGTACGTGGTTTATAGGAAGAGAAAGGGAAAAGACAGACAGACAGAAAGAAAGAGAGAGAGAGAGAGAGAGTGGTGTATCCGGTATATATTTGAAAGATAGAGCGAGAGAGAGAGAGAGAGTGCTGGAGGTGTTGCGTGCGAGTTAACGAGCCAACGACGA